CTGTTGGGCGGGTGGGGCCCCTCCCCCTGTAGCAAAACCCTCTCAAAAAAAAAAAAAAAGAAAAAAAAGAGTGGCATTAATCTACTCATGGCAGAGCCCTCCTGGCTGGGTCACCCCCATAGACCCCACCCCGTTCTGTAGGGCTGGGATTAGGCTCCCAGCACAAGCCTTGGGGGGTGCACGAGCCCAGAGCTCATGGGAGAGGTGTGTCCTGTGCCCAAGCACCTGGCAGGATCATTAGAAAGCCAGCCTGAGGCGAGGCGGGCCCGGGAGGTGTGGGCGTGGGGCACAATGCCCCGCATTGCTGCTCCGGCGTCTTGGGCCATGACTGCCAGGGCCTAAAACAAGGCTGAGGTCTCCAAGGAGGTGGTGACAGCGGGCTCGGATGCCCGGCTGGCCTGAAGATGTGCTGCTGTGTGCGTGCACACCCAAGGGCCGGGGCTGCAGGGCTGGAGGCCATCACCGCAGATCGTGTCAGGGCGCCTCTCTCTCTGTCTCTCTCTCATGCACATGTATGTGCTATTATGAATAAAATACATAAAATAATAAACGAAAAATTATTTAAAAACAGGGACTCGGGAGTTTGAAATACAGAGTTTGCCCGAGCCTCCCTGCTGCCTCACACGAGCCTCTTCTGGGCTGCCGTGAGCACAGGTACTTCCAGCCCAGAGGCACCTGTTCCTCCGGTCGGCCAGCTCTCCTCTTCCCACGGGAACGTGCCCCTTCTGAGTGGGGAGGACCTCTCCGTGGCAGCCGGAGCACAACGCAGAGATCCCCAGCCTCACAGACGCCATGCACTCCCTCGGCCTGCCCCAACCGTGGCTCTCCAAGCAAATCTAGAGGACAAAAGGGTAAAATTCAAAGCTGAACAAAAGGTATTACCATGATGACTCGCAGTCAAAACAGGTGAATTGAGAGGCCGCCCAGGTTACGGCGAAGGAGAGCTGAAGACTCGGGGCGTGCTGTTTTCTGCGTTAGGGAGGAGAGCTGCTTGGGCTCCTGCACCTGGGACAACCGAAGGCCAGAGTGGCGGGCTTGGCGGGTGGGCGGTTTCTGCAGTGCTTGTCATAGAGCACGTCGCCCTGTGGGTTTATTAGCTGCTGCTTCTCCTCGTGGAGATGCTAACACTATCTAAATTCTGGCAGTTACACAACCAACAAGAACACTAGTGTTCTCTCCTCAAAGCCTCCTAGAAATGTCAAGTGCTCTTGTCGGCTTTCTGGAAATGGCATGAAAGGAGCTTTTCAGATGGAGGTGGCTGAGGCCCTCGAGGCTGTAATTCACTCCCAGGAGAGGGGAGACTGCCGTGAGGCTCGGCTCGTGCAGCGTAAGCCTTCAGCTCCCGGGAGCCCCTCCAGCTGTCGCCACGCAGCCCTCCGGGGACCTCCCTGTTTCTCTCCACTCTGTCAGCTTCCGACTTCACCAGTGGAATCCAAGTAGGTACAGCCACAGCCAGAAGCTGGCCTTCCCCACCGCACGCCGCAGGTTGCTTTGTCCCCCGGGTTTCCAAGGCAGGGTAAACAAGGTGGCCTGCCCTGTAGCACAGTGGTTAAGCCCTGTGCAAAGGAAGCCCGACCCCACATGGCTGACCAGTTCGTGTCCCAAACCCAGCGTCTGGAAAAACACATTAGGCATGTGTGCACACGTGCCCAGGACCCTGACAAGAGGAAGAACTCTCTCTCTCTCTCTCTCTCTCATGCTCTCTAACATGAAAAATTATTAACAGAACAGCAAGGTGTAAATGACCCACATGTCCACACGCCACAGCCCTAGGAGGGTGGCTCTCAACATTGTGTATGTGAACCATCTGGAAAGTTTGTGAATCTGCTGAAACGAGCGTTCTGGGAGTGGGGACAGAAATGTGCCAGCGGCTTCTAACTGGTGGCTGCCAGCTCTAGCCGGAGAGACCACCATGCAGGAGACCGGGACCAGCCCTCTCCGCAGCTGGTATCAAAGGGACCGTGGGTAACTGGGGTGAGAACTGAAATCGTTCAAAAGCTCGTGCGTGTCTGTGCCCGGTGGCTCTGGGATCTGTGGCCCTGTGGCAGGTGGGTACAACCCTGGCCAGCTCTCTCCCTTTGTCCTAGGTCCCACCAACAGATGACAAGGGTGACATAAAAGCAGTGTGGTGCGCTTTGCTGGCTCACAACGGGGCTGAGGGAGACGGAGCAGGAGGGCTGAGTGTCCGTGGGCGTGGACGCGTGAGTTTCAGTGCTGGGCCACCTCCGACTTTCACAGCGGCCATCATGGAGAAGAGCCACAGCACAGGTGTCTGTCCCATATCTATCCTGTCACTTCTCCCATGAGAAACAGGGGACGAGAGACCGAGGGGGAGAGCCCTCAATGGGGCCCTGATGCTGTGACCCACCACAGCCCTCAGCCAGCCCTGGGTGCTCAGGAAGGCCGCTGGAGGGCCCCAGAGCCTGCCCGGGAGAGGCCAGCTCAAAGAGCGAGAGGAGAGTGGAGGAGAAGGGGTCGCGGCGTGCTCGGTACCTCCTCTGACACAGACGCTTGCTCAGCCCACACGCCAGGACTGCTCAGTCAGCACAGGCCGGCGGGGAGGACTGCCTGCTACTGCCTGGGTGCTCCTCAG